CCTCTTGTAATTGCAGAAGTCAAACATGACTTGTATTCATCTTTTGTTATTGGTATATATTGAGTATTACAATTTTAATAGTTTTTTCCTTTCTTAAAACATGTATACATCTTTTTGGTACCCTCCACATATTAAACTTCCTTGAGACAGAAGAAACACACTATAGATCATAAATATTTGCATATGTCATCTTGCTCCATTGGGTCCACATGGGCAACATTAATGTCATGCTCCAGACGACAGAGCCAAGGCTAAGAGAGTCAGGTGAGTAGTCCAAGGTCACATGGCTTCTAAGCTGTAGAACCATGACTAGAACCTGGGGAAGATGATTTCTGGTTAAAAACTTTCTCACTTCAAACTTGCCACCCTTCTAAAAAATTGGCTACATGTGAGGCTCCTGTCCTGGAATGAACTCCATTAGAACTGCACTCACTGGGTGCAATCTTTGAGCAGTGCATTGACCTTAAAGTTGGATTTAACGATTTTAGTTTTCATCTCAGTACCAGGAAAATGGAAGCACCCATAGGGAAAGCAAACAAGACAAAATATGTACAGGCTAGAAAAAGCAAAAGCAGAAAGGAGAGAAAAAAGAGAGACAGAGGAAGAACCAGGAAACAAAAGTATGAAAGTCAGGGAGAGAAGGAGAATGGTAAGAAGGAGAAAAGGAAAGCTGCGAGATCAGTCGAACAAAGATTTAGAGGGAAAAGGGGAAAAAAAAGGTAAATGGAAAGGTTGGGGGAGGGGGTAAGCCCAGCAAAAAAATGGCTTTTAGAGAAGGAGGCAGGATTAGAAAGAAAATGAGAGGAGGGAATGAGGAAGCTTTTTGACATGAGGTTTTGGCTTGTGGGCAGTTTCCACCACTGCTACGCTGCCGTACCCAAATTTTGTCCACATCCTGTTTCCCCTTTTTCTCTCTGCCTGCGTCTTGGGAGGAACAAGCCCTGCTAGAGTAAACCCTTTTGGCCCCCAGACCCGGTCCTTGAACTGCTGTAGTCTATATCTCTCTGCCTCACTTAATAACCCAACCAATAATTTTGGGCAACAAAGTCTTTCTGTTTCTGTCAAATCATTTTCTTTCCAGGTGACAGTCCCTCTCCTCTGTTTAGGCTGGCCTTGTCTTTCTACATCACTTGATATATGGCATGTGTACTGATTTGAAATAGATTTAGAAAAAACATTATTCTGTTATCCATATATGCCCAAAAACATCATAATAAATTTCTATTTGTCAAGGATAAATAGAAATATTTTTGCATCAACTTTTCTTTTGTATTATGGACTTGACTTGTTTTTCCCCATTATCATAAGTGCCATAAATCTGGGTGGAACCCCTGATGCCTCATATTAATTCACCAATATTCTATACTAAGCAAGTATCAAGGATGAACTCTATTTATAAGAATGGTCCACTCTTCATATGTAGAATTTTAACTACATGCCTAGAGGTGATAATCTAATTACACTTTTGAAATCAACTGACGGTTAATTTTCACCCATCAGAATCTTAATTCTTATGACTTAACAGTTCAGTTGATAAGTGAAAACACAGGCCAGCAAGAGTAATTGTCTTTTTCTATTTATTATAAAGATTTCCTGAGACAGCATTTCTCAAAGTGTTTATTATAACACCTAATATAGTAAAAGTCTTTCCTTGCAATAAGCACAGAACTTCAAAATACAGAATGGCAAAGGTTTTTGTACAATTTTGATGTAACTAAAAGTTAGATTTTTTTTATAGTTTAAAATAACAGACTTTCTTCTGCAAGGCTTTTATAATTCTGAACAAGCCATTTTCTCTCAGATTTCATATGGTGATAATTTTTCTTATTCCTAGTTTCTGTGATACACTTTCTTAGTACTCATTGCCACCCATACGTGTAAACACACCAACACATAATAGCTTAGCTCTTTTAATATGCATTTGCCTCTTTTTCAAGCATACTATCTATTTAAATACAAGCAATCTTTTTTATTTGGAAAGGTAAGATCATTATGAAGAACATTTTTAAATGAAATATTTTAAAATGAAATAGTAAGAAGAACTTACTGTATTTATATACTTCAAAGTTGCGAAGAGACTAGCTCTTAAATGTGCTCGCCACAAAAGTAAAATGATAGTTATATGACATGATGGAGGTGTTAGCTAATGCTTGATGGTAATCATATTGCAATATGTAAATGTATCAAGTCAACACATTGCATGCCTTAAACTTACACAATGTTAAATATAAATTATATCTCAATAAAAAAGAAACTTACTTAGTCAGTTTTCGCTTCTTTAAACCATTTTTACTCCTGAAAATTATAAAAAAAAAAGACAAATTTATCAGGGCAAAATAATTGATTAACATATAGATTAAAGTTGAAGAGTTTTAAATCATTACATCAGACACCTCAATTTTATTTAATTTTCATTAAACATATCTCTGGTTTGTTTATTTCTCCTTAAATTAGAAAATGATAATTTCAGATTCATTTTTTAAAACAGTGTTAGATTGCAGGAATACATCTTTACTTTATAGTTAATGTTTGCCAAAAACTGAATTGTGAAAATATATTGTAATTTCTTATTACTAGTGATTTAGTTGCTAAAGTGTTTTGTAAATATATAGAAGTATCTATCGCATGAATACGTCAGTATCTACAGGCAAGAAGTAAAGAATCAGGGGATTAAAGTGAGAAATAATGATGGGAATGTGGATATATTGGTCTGGTAAAGATTAAATTAACTCTTTTGGATGTTTTTGTTGGGCATGTGAATTTGTATTATCGATGTTGTCTTGTATCTTATATTGTATCTTATATAATTCTACTGTGGCATTGTTCTTACTCAATTCTGAACTAGTTTTTAAGCTATTTGAAGAACTGGACCTACTTGTTTGTTCCTAATTCATTATTAGTGTGTAAGCTCAAACACATGTAATGCTAAGGTATGCTTCAGCTAATTACATTTAAGGGGGTATTTAGGGTAACTGTTTTCAACCAAAAAGTAAGATAAGTTAGCTGATGTTAAGATAGTATCTGCTGAAACACTTTATTATTGTCTTATATAAATAACAAGTATTGATACATGTCTGAATGTGAGTGACAATTTTTATAAGTAACTTTCAAAGGTATTTAAATATAGATAGAAATATAAACAATAAATCTATAGTAAATAACTGGTTGTGATTTGGGTAGTCTCATGTGCCAAACTATTTATAATGAAAAGTATGAGTGCTTGGCTACCTCGATGTCCAGAAAGCTTTCAGCAGAATGAAGAACTACTTCCTCGGTGCCATCATAGCACTTTTCTCACAGAGTACTTCTCAGGTTGTCTGACTGTCAGTTGTGCATCCTTTCCCTGCTAGACTGTCTTCCCCTCTCCCCACTCCCCAGAACTGAGCACAGATAATGGAACACATAGTGGGTGGCCAATACATGCTTAGTTAATTGAATTGAAACAATTCAATGTTTGCTCTGTTACCCTCACAATTGCTTAATGATTCAATTAAGAAGTTGATGCTAGGCTTGGGCTTGTGAGGTCCCACTGGGGAAATGGGACTTGTGGATTGAAAGGAAGTAATGCAGGATAGAAAATGTACAGAAATACCCATAAAGGCAAGTGACGTTTCCAGTTTTTATTTTTCTGTTTTCAGGTAGTATTTATTTCTTCCCAATTCTGAGTGAAGACAAGCCATTTCATAGTTCCTGTCCTATTTTTTCTCCCTCATCCTCTCACTGTCTTCCATACTTGGGATTTGGAGGGAGTAGATATTCCAGGTTTTACTTTACCTCTCCCTCATCCCCTCAAAAAACAAAACACAACACTGTGATATTGGACAGAGCTGTATCATATAAACATGTGGGAACTTAAAAGACATGCCTCTTGAATAATTTTTACTCAGCTCTTGCAATGACAATTTCATTAGCTTTTGGAATCCCACATTTACGTGGTGTAGCAGGAGTCAATTACTTTAGTGCTTTATGAAAGCAAAATGTTAACACAGATAACAAACAGTTCTGGTAAAGTCAGTAGGCTGCCGACATGTTCTGAGATTGTGAATTACAAAGAGGAAAATAAGAAACATTTCCTATCCAAAACAGACTTTAAGGGAAACTGGGAAGAAGCAAATGTATGTGGGAGGGTGACGCTGAATAAATTCAGCACTGAAATCTTAAGCTGCTACTATTCAACAGCTGTGTAGAAATCTGACTTATGGAGAAGGGACACTTTTTTTTTCTTTTAATTTCATTCATTAATTGAATGAACTTTGAACACAATATAAAAGTTTTCCACACATTTTATATGACTTATTGTCATATATTTTCATAAGTGTATGCCTTCATGATTTGTGTACAACTTTCATTGTTCTGACTACATTTCACTGAATTCCAATAGATCCCCAAAGGTTCCTGTATCCTAAGGCTGTTGGCCATGACAGTGTGGAATTATGAGTTGCCAAAGCCACAGTGATAGAATTTTCCTACATTTTCAATTGCTGTGTTAATTCTAAAACTAAAATCAGGGGGAAATTCACTTTGGAACATATAAGCTAAGGCTTTGCTAACAATTTTAGCTTCAGCACATTATGGAAAGAGTTAGTGTGTGTTTGTCCATATTACAGTGAATACCTTGGGCGATGTTTAGGGTATCATGTTGCCATTACAAAAGGTTTTCTGAATAACTGATAAATAACATCTATCAGACATACAGTATATATATATGGATATAGGATCATGCACTTCTTTTAATTTTTCCCTTTCACTTTTGTTAGGTAAGGTTCAAAACCCTAATGACTTCCAGAAGTAAAGATGCATTCTTCATAAGTTCTTCAGGGTATGACACTCTTAGAAAGCCAGCCAGATTGAAATTCATTGCAAAGAAGAATATGAAGCAATGGCAGAGACATGAGGTTTAGATGGTTAAAACAAACAAACAAATCCCCTCCCCGCAAAAAACTTTAGATGTCCCCAATTTCATAAGCACTATTTATTTTCTGATGAACTAAATGGAAATCATTCCCAAATCTTTAAAAAGGTCTTTAGAGTGATGTGTCATTCTCCGAATAGAATGTGCAATAACCGTGAGTCAAGTTGATCATTTTAAACTAAGTGTTGCTTCATGTTTGAAATGTCAACTGCTGAGGATTTGAAATAGGCAGATGAGTAACTTGAGTACAGCATGAGGGTGATTATGCTACTAAGGAAAAAGAGAGTAATCACACTGAATCTATAGATAGAGCAAGTCCAAACGAGATGGTTTTCCTTGAACAGGAAACACCATCTGAGATCCTTCAAGTTAGAAATCCTGGCAGAGTACAGCCTTAGACTACGCCGACTGAGCACTAGCTCTCTACATAGATTCTGCTATCACCCCAGGAGAAGCTTCAAGCAACAATGAAAGGGAAAGTCTTGATTTCCATGTGAACCACTAGAGGCATGAAGAGTGTTTTGGAAAATCAATAGGAACCTATCTTTCCAAGAAGTTGACAGTTTAGAGAAGAACTTGGGCAGTGTGTTAGGAAGGAGGCAGGCGAGTGGCTCTGTTATTTGTGGCAGTTGTTAACAGGGTACGTGAAATATAAAGACAAACACATCTAAAGGAGGTTTAAAAAATGACTGTTTTGCAAATGAATGCAGGGGAAAATATCCCGAGTTATTTGATAAAAAGTAGCAAATAGTAGGGAATTC